GTTACACAGAGAGAGAAGGAGAGACAGAGAGAGAGAGAGAGAGAGAGAGAGGTCTTCATCTGCTGGTTCACTTCTCAGATGGCCGCAATGGCAGAGCTGCTCCAATTCAAAGCCAGAAGCCAGGAGGTTCTTCCAGGTCTCCCACATGGGTGCAGGGGTCCAAGAACTTGGGTCATCTTCTATTGCTTTCCCAGGACATAGCTGAGAGCTGGATCAGAAGTGGAGCAGCTGGGTCTCAAACCAGTGCCTATATGGGGTGCTGGCACTGCAGGCAGTTGCTTTACTCACTATGCCATGGTGCCAGCCCTTATATTTTATAAGCAGGTATTTCAAAACGTTCATGGGCAATACATATTATCATTTAATTTTATAACCAGGAAACTTTGAGTGCTTTTATATAAAGCATAAAGAACTAAAAAACATTAGAATTATAGAATGTATGTATATTAATTCCACAGAAGAGAAAAATCTACCCAACCTGGACCTCCATATCTGTTCAAGTTGATGTACTAAGATTTTTAAATTGGCATAATAATTGAAAATGTTAGAGGTTCCCTAAACAAATGTACCTATTTTTAGTCTATTTGATTGTAAGTAGAATATGCAACTTATTTTGTATTATTTTTAAAATAAAATTGAGGGCCAGCACTGTGGAAATAGTGGGTAAAGCCAGCAACTGTGGTGCTGGCATCCCATATGGCCACCAGCTCATGTCCCAGGTGGTCCAAGTATTTGGGCTCCTGCACCTATCCTGGTTTCTGGATTTGGATCAGCCCAGCACTGGCCATTGTGGCCATTTGGGATGTGAGCCAATAAATGGAAGGTCTTTCCTCTCTCCCTCTCCCTCTCCCTCTCCCTCTCCCTCTCCCTCTCCCTCTCCCTCTCCCTCTCCCTCTCCCTCTCCCCCCCTCTCTCTTTCTCTCTCTCTATCTCTATATATCTCTACCTTTATCTCTGTCTCTCCTTCTCTATCTCTATAATTCTGTCTTTCAAATAAATTAAAAGTTTTTTATAAAAATGGGTTTAAATATTTTCAAATATTTCCTACAATACAGAAGAATAAAATACTTTTGGGCCCATGAGAGTCTCACAGGCATGGAAAGCCAAGACACTGTGGCAAAAACAACCTGAATGAAAGATCTCGGTGAACAAGACCCCAGCAGAAAGAACGGGCCATCAGAGAAGGAGGCACCTTTCTCTGAAGGGAGGAAGGAATCTCCACTGTGATATGGCCTTGACTAAACAAGTTCAGAGTTGGTGAACTCAAGGGGCTTCCATAGCCTCGACAGCTCATGACAAGAGCCTCGGGTGATTACTGACGTCATAAATAAGAGTGTCAATTGTTAAATCAATGATGGGAGTCACTGTGCACATGCTCCCCACATAGGATCTCTGTCAATGTGTTTTACTATGAGAGTTAATGATAACACTACTAGTTGAACAGTACTCTATATCTTCTGTGGGTGTGTGGGTGCAGTCTGTTGAAATCTTTGCTTAGTATATACTAAATTGATCTTCTGTATATAAAGATAATTGAAAATGAAACCTGATGAAGAGTGGGGTGGGAGAGGGAGTGGGAGATGGGAGGGCTGTGGGAGGGAGGGAGGTTGGGGGGGGGAAGCCACAACAATGCAAAAGTTGCACTTTGTAAATTCACATTTATTAAATAAAAAATAAAAAAAGAATAAAGTACTTTTGAAGAAACATTAAATAATTCATTTTCACATTGGGTAAAATCACCTATTTTTTTCTTTTTTTAAAGATGTATTGTATTCATTTGTAAGGCAGCTTTATAGGGATGGAGAAACAGTCAAAGAGATTTTCCATCTGCTGCTTCACTCCCCAAAAGGCTGCAATGGCCAGAGCTGGGTAAAACCAAAGCCAGGAGAAAGAAGCTTCATCTTGTTCTTCCATGTGGATGGCAGGGACCCAGTCATGTGGGTCAGTTCAGCTGCTTTCCCAGGCCATTGGCTGTGAACTGGATAGGAAGTGGAGCATCAGAACTTGAACAGGTGCCTATATAGGATGCCAGCATTGCAGATAGGACATAACCTCCTCAGCCACATTGACGACCTCCTAAAATCACCTATTTCTAAAGAGTTTGTTTTTATTTATATTCTTTTTATAAAATACTTATTTGTTTATTTGAAAGTGAAAGTTATAGAAAAGAGGGAAAGACAGAGAGATCTTCCATCAGCTGGTTCACTCCCCAGATGGCTTCAAAGGCAGGGGTTGGGCTAAGTCAAAGCCAGGAGCTTCTTCCAGGTCTCCCACATGGATGAAGGAGCTCAAGAACTTGACCAATTCTCTGATGTTTCCCCAAGCCATTGTCATGGAGCTGGATCAGAAGAGTAACAGCCAGAACTTGAACTGGCACCCATATAGGATTTCATTCTCACAAATGGTGGCTTAAATGCTAGCCCCTCCTTATATTCTTTATAAAATTACTTTTAAGGGTCTCTTTCTAAATAAAAAAATATATTATTTACCAAGTTATTGTGTAATTTATTGTCTCTATTTATAAGTCATGGTAACACCAGGATTTTTTACAAGATCTAAATGGGTGCCAGTGCTATGGTGCAACAGATTAAAGCCCTAGCCTGCAGCACCGACATCCCATATGGGCACCAGTTCGAGTCCTAGTGGCTGCTCCTCTGATCCAGCTCTCTGCTATGGCCTGGGAAAGCAGTGAAAGATGGCCCAAGTCCTTGGGCCCCTGAACCCGCATGGGACACCTGGAAGAAGCTCCTGGCTCCTGGCTCGGATCAGCTCAGCTCTGGCCATTGTGGTCTTTGGGGAGTGAACCAGCAGAATGGCAGATCTCTCTCTCTCTCTCTCTGTAAATTTGTCTTTCAAATAAAAATATCTTTAAAAAAAGAAAATTAAATGAGTCATACCCTTTAGGTATAAATTCAGCTGAATCTACAGTGTCTGTAATGTGACCATAATAAAACTCAAGTCTGGTACATATCTCATCAGGTAGACATTACTGTGTCCTTCCTTTAAGAATTAAGAACAGGGGCCAACATTTTGGTGCAGATTAAGCAGCTGCTCACAATGCTGGCATCCCATATGAACTCAGGTTTCCAATCCCAGTTCTGATCCAGTTCACTACTAATGTGTGTAGGAAAGCAGCAAAACATTACTGAAGTACTTGGGCACTTCCCACCTATGTGGAGGAAGCAGTTGGAGTTCCATGCTCCTGGTTTTTGCCTGGCCCAGTCCCAGCCATCATTGTTATTTGGGGAGTGAACCAGCAGGTGGAAGATTTCTCTCTCTCTCTTTCATTATCTCCCCACTCCCTCTTCTGTAAGTCTGACTTTCAGATAAGTAAATAAATAAATCTTTTTAAAAAAAAGAAACTAAGGGGCTGGCACTGTGGCGCAGCAGGTAAACACCCTGGCCTGAAGAGCCGGCATCCATATGGGTGCTGGTTCTAGTCCTGGCTGCTCCTCTTCCAATCTAGCTCTCTGATGTGGCCTGGAAAAGCACTAGATGATTGTCCAAGTCCTTGGGTCCCTGCACCCACATGGGAGACCCAGAGGAAGCTCCTGGCTCCTGGATTTGGATCAGTGCAGCTCCGGCCATTGCAGCCATCTGGGGAGTGAACCATCAAATGTAAGATCTCTCTCTCTCTCTCTCTCTCTCTCTCTCTCTCTCTCTCCTCTCTGTGTAACTCTGACTTTCAAATAAATAAATAAATCTTAATAAAAAGAAACCAAGAAAGCAGAAGAAATTCAAGAAAAAAACTAATTAAATGAATATATTTAATAAAGAGTCCAAAACAGACTATAAATGTGCTACTACTGCACATTTGTCACTAAGATGTGCTAAATGAAAAATTATTAATGTATATTATCATGTACTTATTTGGATGATTGATTATTGGTAACTAGTATTTAGTTTTAAAGGAAAAAATTTCAAGTGACAATATTCATCAGTAGAAAAAAGTTGAAACAAAGCACTCTCAATCTCACAAAGTCATGTGGATAGGAAAAGGCATATCTGATTTATTCTAAGCAGCCTTTCTAAAATTTACAGATTTTTTTCTGGCAATAATAAACTTGGCTCATCATAGAAAGTTCTTTGAAGGCTGTTGTTAAATTTGTTACTCTTTGAAAAAGTAAATTTGATTGCATGATACAGCAAGAGGTAAATTTTTTATTTATAGGACACTTGAAAATCCATTGTACTTAGTCTCTATACTTTATAGAACAGAAATTACACAGATAAATTTCACTTTGTCTAATTTTTTAAAATATTTACTTATTTATTTGACAGGCAGTTACAGACAGAATCTTCCATTCGCTGGTTCACTCCCCAATGGCCACAATGGCCAAAACTGGGCTAACCCAAAGCCAGAGGCCAGGAACTTCTTCAGGATCTCACATGAGTGCAGGGGTTCAAGCACTTGGGCTATCTTCCACTGCTTTCCCAGGTCATTAGCACAGAGCTAGATTGGAAGTGGAGCAGCAGAAACATGAACCAGCACTGTATGGGATACCAGTGCCACAGGCAGAGGCTTAACAACTATGGCACAGCACTGGCCCCCGATATATCTAAATTTACGATAAACCCAGAATACAATTTTCTTTTCTTTATTAATTTCTTTCTTTTCTTTCCTTTTTTTTTTTTTTTTGGTTAATTTTTCTGTGTCATGAAGCTTGCACATTGCATCCAAAGACATGGACCAGGGATAGAGGCTTATGATTACTGTGTGCAAGAACTCTCCTCTTGAGGGTCAAAGCATCTGACAAGGAAGCTCTCCTAGATTAAGTCCTCAAGCACCTCTCTCAATAACAAGCAAGAGAAGGCGTGCTAACTGGAGAACATCTTGGGTTTAATTAACTCTGGGAGGTCTGAGTGTTACTGGAGTCCTCATTGGGATGTAATAATGGGTCATTAATCAGTTGAATATGACTATTAACCACTAGAGGGCTCTGTAGGGTCAATTAAATTTTCACAATCATTGACACCTGATTCCCCACTGTTGTCTCCAGCTGCTCTTCTGGGGAAGAAAATGTGCTCCACTTAAAGGATACTTAAGTCCAACACTGGAGGAAGCATATCTGAAAGAGCCCACAGCTGAGATCAAGGCATAAAGACACTTGCTTCCATGTGAGATTGACTAAAAATACTGTGTTGATTGGGTAAAAGTCATCATGAAGTGGACCAGGGACCTCTGCATCTCCAAGTGTATTTCTACCTTCCAGCTGCAAACCCAGAATAAGGCATCCAAAGAATAAAGAATGATTCCATACTTCTATGTGGTGCTTCTCTGATTAACATTGCCTGCTGAAATCTTCTTGTTCCTATTTATTTTTACCCAGAATAGTTTGTCCTAATTTTTGCACTTCTGCCTGACAATATTCAACAATTGCACACTGTGCTCTACATTTGCACACACTGACAGCATTTTATTTTTGTGTGCATTATAAACCTGATAAGTTGCTCTAATGATTTTTATTTTTTCATCATTATAAAAATGCCAGTATCATGTTCTTTAATAAGTTTGGCATAATACTGAAAGGTGTTTGACACTGAAGACACTGTGCTTTTGCTTGCTAGTATTACCTAGATTGGGAGTAGTGATACCCTCTGATTATACCTTCAAGTTGAACTAAAGAGAGCCTAAATTCTAAAACAGGAATAAAATTACTGATAATAGAGATGAAGCTGAAGAGAAGAAAACAAGATTGGGCACTCTGATGGTGTGAGTGAGCTGTTTATGGGTGATCTGTTCCTTATATGAAAACTGCTTCTGCAGATTTGCCAAATTATCTAAAATAATAACCTTCTTTCACTTATCTTTAAGAATTCTGTCCCAAATCTCTTCCCTTAATTTCACTTTCACAGTTAAACATGCAGTTTTGAATAAAGCTGGTTATTATGGATTTCAATTGTTTGCAGAAATTGTGTCTTGCTAATGTGTCGCTCCCCCTCTTCACGGAGGAACGACACTAAACCCTGCCTAGGCTTCATATCCGAGTCACGGCACCATTATGTCGCTCCCCGTCTTTGTGGAAGAACGACACAGGACCCTGCGCTGTTCTTTTGTCTGCTCAGCCCTCCCCGGGTTTGCTGCTGGTTCTTCCCGGGTTGGCTACCGTCCCTGATGCTAAAAGTTGCTTCTTGTCTTATCTCTCTCAGCAAGAATCTTTTATGGCCCACACTGCTGCTGGTGCTGTAGAAACTTATAGTGCGGAAGGTGTAGTCCAAAATGGAGGTTGTCATAATGAAATTCTCTGAGTGCACTATTTTAATATCAAATATTTTATTTTTTAACTTTTATTTAATAAATATAAATTTCCAAAGTACAGCTTTTGGATTACAGTGGCTTTTTCCCCCCATAACCTCCCTCCCACCCGCAACCCTCCCATCTTCCACTCCCTCTCCCATCCCATTCACATCAAGATTCATTTTCAATTATCCTTATATACAGATGATCAATTTAGTATATACTAAGTAAAGATTTCAACAGTTTGCACCCACACCAAAACACAAAGTGTAAAGTACTGTTTGAGTACTAGTTATACCGTTAATTCACATTGTACAACACATTAAGGACAGAGATCCTACATGGAGAGCAAGTGCACAGTGACTCCTGTTGCTGATTTAACAATTGACACTCTTGTTTATGATGTCAGTAATCACCCTAGGCTCATGTCATGAGTTGCCAAGGCTATGGAAGACTTTTGAGTTTGACGACTCCGATCTTATTTAGACAAGATCATAGTCAAAGTGGAAGTTCTCTCATCCCTTCAGAGAAAGGTACCACCTTCTTTGATGGCCCCGTTCTTTCTGCTGGGATCTCACACAGAGATCTTTCATTTAGGTTTGTTTTTTTTTTCTTTTTTTTCTTTTTTTTTTCTTTGCCACAGTGTCTTGGCTTTCCATGAATATCAGGCATTTTAAATAATCATTTATTGTATTTTTGTGTTGCTATTGACTAACTCATAGTATCATGTTATCCTTTGCCTGTTCAGCTGAGCTATACTGCAATCTTCTTTATGGACATGATCATCACCCAGAGATTAGTATTCATTACACCTCCTCTGAGTTAGGCACTATCAAGGAATGAGGTTGTGTTAGTCAATAATTTGATCTGTGGAATTTAAAGTTTAAAAGAGATAAGTTATCATAACCACCTCAAAGGTCCTTTGGTACATCTTTCTGAATAACTTAGAGATGAGAACTACTTTGAAAGAAAAAATGAAGTAGCTGACACCTGGAGCACCTACCTGTAATGCCAGCATCTCATGTGAGCACTGGTTTGAGTCCCAGCTGCTCCATTTATGATCTGTCCCCCTGTTACTGCATCTATTTGGGGAATGAACCAGAAGATGGAAGATTTCTATCTCTCCCTGCAACCTTCTCTATCTCTGCCTTTCAAACAAATACTGTAAATCTTATTTTAAAAGAGCTTAGGGTCCAGCACTATGGCATAGTGGGCTAAACCTCTGCCTGTGGTGCCAGTTCAAGTCCCAGCTGTTCTTCTTCCCATCCAGCTCTCTGCTTTGGCCTGGGAAAGCAGTAGAAGATGGCCCAAATGATTGGGCTCCTGCACCCATGTGGGGGAGAAGAGTGAAGTTCCAGGCTTCTGGCTCCTGGCTTCAGATTGACCCAGCTCAGTCTATTGTGGCTATTTCTGGAGTAAACCAGTGGATAAATCTTTCTCTCTGTCTCTCCCTCTGTCTGTAACTCTACCTCTCAAATAAAATAATAAAATCTTTTTTATAAAAAAAAAACAGAGTTTAGCCTCAAGTTTGGAACCTTTAGTAATTTTTGATGGGTTGAGAGGAAATTTGTAAAATTTGTGATACAACTGAGAGCCTTCTGAGTCCTAGCATGTAAGAAGAGAATAGCGAGCAGACATCTAGTAGACATGACCTAATAGGGTAGAACCCATAGCATTGTTTTTCTGAAGACCACAGTAAGTCCTATGGTCCCTGTTCAAAGGTCATGGAAAACCATCCACACAGTCAGAAGAGGAGTGTGACTTGATGAGATTTTAGTTTGTAAAATGACCTTTTAATTAAGTCCTAATGAACATCTCCAGAGAAAACATAGAAAAATACAGCTGAAATGTAAATATTCATTAATAATAACAAGACTTGATGGAATAAATGGCACCTTTAAGGGAAATGTAATTCAGGGAAGAGAGATAAGATGTGTTAAAGAGGATTTCACTAGGATCTGGAATAACTTGAGCATCAGAACACATAATTTCAGACTATAATACCTTTAACAAGATAAGAATCTATGAACTCATAATGATATAATACATAATGACAGAATAACTAGGACAGAAGATTGAGTCTTTAGCATTGATGCTAGATCAAAATATAAATGGAAAAACAATATTGGGAATTAAAGCACCAGCATTTCATATAGTGTTGATGATTTCATATAGTGTTGATGGAAGAAAATTTGATAGGAAAAATAATACTGGCATAATATTAGAATTTTTTCTGCCAGGCAGTTAGACAGTGAGAGAGAGAGACACAGAGAGAGTTATAGACAGTGAGAGAGAGATAGAGAAACGTCTTCCTTCTGTTGGTTCACTCCCCTAATTGCTGCTACAGCCAGCACTGTGCCGATCTGAAGAAGCCAGGAGCCAGGTGCCTCCTCCTGGTCTCCCATGTGGGTTCAGGGACCCAAGCACTTGGGCCATCTTCAGCTGCCCTCCCGGGCCACTGCAGAGAGCTGGACTGGAAGAGGAGCAAATGGGACTAGTACCCGGCACCCCAACTGTGACTAGAATCCAGGGTACCGGCACCACAGGTGGAGTGTTAGCCAAGTGAGTCATAGCGCTGGCCAGAATATTTTTTAATAAAAGTCCACACATTCCAAAAAGGAATAAATTTGTATATAGCACAGCATATACAAATGCTGTGGTGCAGCAAGTTTCACCACTGCTTGCTACACTGGCATTCCACATCAGAGTGCTGTTGTGCTGCTTCAAGTCCCAGCTTCTCTGCTTTTGATCAAGCATAATGTGAATGCACCTGGGAAGGCCCCAGAACATGGTCCAAGTCCTTGGGCCCTGCCACCCTGTGGAAGACCAGGAAACAGTTGTTCATCCTAGTTTTAGCTTGACAAAGAACTTACCGTTGCAACTCTTTTGGGAATGAACCAGCAGAGATAGAGAGAGAGACACACAGACACAGAGAGAGACAGAGAGAGAGAGAGAGAGAGAGAGAGAGAGAGAGAGAGAGAAATAGATCCAGCTCTCTGCTATGGCCTGGGAAATCAGTAGAAGATGGCCCAAGTGCTTGGACCTATGCACCCACATGAGAGACCTGGAAGAAGCTCTTGGCTTCCGGCTTTGGATTGATGCAGTTCTGGCAGTTGTGGCCAACTGGGGAGTGAACCAGTGGATGGAAGACCTGTCTCTCTTTCTCTCTCTCTCTCTCTCTCTGCCTCTCCTTCTCTCTGTGTAACTCTGACTTTCAAATAAATAAACAAATAGGATGGTGCTGTAGCTCACTAGGCTAACCCTCCACCTGTGGTGCTGGCACCCCAGGTTCCAGTCCCAGTTGGGGTGCCAGATTCTGTCCCAGTTGCTCCCCCTCCAGTCCAGCTCTCTGCTGTGGCCTGGGAGTGCAGTGGAGGATGGCCCAGGTGCTTGGGCCCTGCACCCACATGGGAGACCAGGAGGAAGCACCTGGTTCCGGCTTTGGATTGGAGCAGTGCTGGCCACAACACACTGGCCATAGTGGTGGCCACTTGGAGGGTGAACCAACGGCAAAAGGAAGACCTTTCTCTCTGTCTCTCTCTCACTGTCTAACTCTGCCTGTCAAAAATAAATATATAAATAAATAAATCATTTAAAAAGATATAGATGTAAATATAGATCCCTCTCTCATTAACATTCTGCCTTCAAAATAAATAATAAATTTTTAAAAGGTTGTATGTGAATCAATCTGGCAGAAATTCACTAATTATCAAGTTGATATTATCCAGTAGAGCAGATGGGAGATTGAGGAGAGCCCAGCATTGGACCAGGGAGCTTCTGATGAGAATACAGGGCCCACATCTTCTCAGAAAGGAACACTGGATAGACCCAGCTTGAGTCATCTCTGCTCTTGATTGTCATGAGTGCCTGCTGTCACCCAGCTCAACAGGGACTAAGAGTGATATGTCAGAGCATGGGGAAGAAAGGAACACCAGGACACAAGACTGTCTTTCCAATGAGAGATTTTGTTGCTTACACACCAGGGTTGTTTTTTTTTTTTTTTTTTTTTATCACACTACTCATCAGCA